CCTTACCTAGACGAGAACATTCTATTTACACATTTTTTCCAGCCTTTTCCAAAATTGCTTTGGAGACCCCTACATGAGAACATCAACATATTTACAAACATGAATAAAAAATTAGTACAGTACATTTAGATCACAATGATTGCCTCATTATATAAATGCTTTCCACATTATTAAAGGAATCTTACAATCTGGGCATTTTTGATCAAAAAAGGAAAAATTCAGGAAATAACTGTTACCAATTATAGGAAACCATGTCAAAATAATTTTAAAATTATTAATTCATATTACTAAACCAAAGTTGTAGAAACCAGTTTGGCTATAGCAAATGCGAAATAGTTTCGTTAAAGAAACCCTCCTTCAAGGGATCTACTGTGACCATTACTGTAGCAAAAGTCCTACAAATAAAGTACCTGCTTTGTGATCAAATGTCTTTGTTGTTGAATTTACAATCACATCTGCTGCTTCTTTAGCAATATCTCCAGTGGCCACCTGGAAGGTGATGGGGCCAATTTTCATTTCGTGCACTCCTGAAGTGGGGCTGGTAACAGTCCCATACAAACCTGGAAAAATAAATGAGGTTAACAATCAAGTTAACAATAGCAAGAATGACTTAAGTCTCATGCTCCTCACATGTGGCCCTCCCATACAGTACTTCTCTCCCACTCCGTCCCAAATTCCATATCTCTAACCTTTAATATGGTCCTGACCCTTAGCCTAAAGGATGGTCTGTTTCTGAAAAAGCATTATAAAAATACTAGTGCCCTGGTGCACGGATTCGTGCACATTGAAAGGAAATTAATTAGAAGGTGGCTGGCGGGGTGGAACTGGGTGAGTTGGGCTGGACATATCCTGGAGCCAACCTCTCGAGGTCCCTTACAGGCCGGCCGCACCTGGGGCAGCACTGTGACTTGAAGGGAATCTGCAGAGTGAGCGGGGTCCCTCTGGTAGGTGGGGTCCCTCAGCCTTCCCTGCGGGGAATGGGCCAAAACCAGCTCTCCCACATCCCCCAAGGGGTCCCAGATCTTGACAGGGCAGTTCTCCAGTGACACACCCAGAATCTGACTCCCTCCTCTCTGGTTCCGGGGTGCGTCACCTGAGAACCACCACTGCCAAGTCAATGCAGCTTGGCAGCTCCTGCATTGAGTGTCTGCCCCCTAGTGGTATTGCGTGTCATAGCTACCAGTCTGACAGTCAGATGGTCACTGAGCCTTTTACACATTTAGATAAAACATATCAAATGTAGGCTTCTTGTGCTGGCCAAGGTGAAGTCAGCCCATGAGAGCATATCTCTCCAACTGATTACAACTAAAACAAGGGACAAATACAATATCTACTAAGTGAGGAATGAAAAGTAAGCAACAGCAGGCATATTGGGGAGGGGAGTCAAAACCTGAAGAGGCAACCTGTAAAGAGCGGAGTTTTGTAATTTTCCTCTTACCCTCCCAGATTTGGAACTACACAATGAGTACAGGTAGCAAAACTCTCAGAGGATCCCTGTGTTTGTGACCAGAGGATTGAGAAAAGGGGGCCCTGTGAGCTGAAGAGCATGGCAGGGATCTTCCTTATTTTCCTTCTTTCTTTTTTTTGAGATCCAATTGAGCTTTATTTAGAAATTGGCACAGCTTCCATTGGAAAAATGTGGGTGTACATATACTTAATATTTTTTTGGAATCAAATATTACTTATCCTGATATTCTTTTTTTCTACAATATATACATTTTTTATTAATTAATTACATATTACAAATGTGTCCTTATCCCCCCATTATCTCCCTACCCTCCCAGTCCTGTCCTCACCCTCACACCCTGTTGTCTGCGTCCATCTTTATGCCTATATGCATGCATAGAAGTTCCATTTTTTTTAATACAGGCCCTATCCCCAAGGTGACCCCAGTTGCAGAACTCCATAGTGGCACCACAGGGGATTAAAGCTCTTAGAGTTCTGTATTTCTATCCAGAAGATCCAGGGAAAAGGGCCCTTGCGGTCTGAAAAGTGTACATGGCTGTGTGTGGGAAAATCCCTGTTATTTTTTTCTCTTTTCTCCCTCCCCACTTTGCCCAAGGTCAACCCTGATCACGCAAAATTATGCAGCAACAGAACAGGCAACTTAAATGCCAAGAGAACACTGTCTCTCTGGGGAGAGGCCTATAAAATGGGCTCCTGTAAGCCAAGAGTGTGAGGGGAGTTCTGCTGAGGGGATAGCTTGAGAAGGTGGACCCAAGTTCTGTGACAAAGAAAGAGATGCCAAAATACTAGTAAATGAGATGAACAGTGAAAGTACTTGTGGGTTTACTAAGGAAGCAAGCTCTGTTGGCCTGTGAACAGTGGGGCAAAGGCACATAACCCAACCTGAGGAGCCTTTGCCAGTCTCTCCTCATATCTTTGAATCTTTATTATTTTGAACTGCCTGCTAAAACAATTACCATTTTCCAGGAGATTTTTAACAAGACCCAAGTGTCACAACATAAAAATAAAAACAACCAACCTATTATCTAAAACTGCTTGTCATACAAAGAACCAAGAAAATGTGAGCAGTTCTTAAGGGTAAAGATACTCAATATAGATGTTTATGTCAAGATGATCCAGATGTGGGACTTATCAAAGACTTTGAAGTATCTATTATAAGTATGCTCCCTGAAGTCAAAGTAAATATATTTGAATGAATGGAAATGATATGGAATGAGTGGAAAAATCGGAGTCTCTGCAAAGAAATAGAAATTATAAATTGAGTGTATTCATCCAGAGACCCTGCAACCATGGCATCCAGTAATCAGCTACTGACCCAGAAACACTGGATCTAAAGCAGCACGAATACATGGACTCAGAGGAGCCCTGCTCCTCCTCACGGAAAGAGAAACTACATAACCAAACACCTGGAAAAGAGAGATCATGGGGAGACAAAGAAACAGCCCGCATATGAAAGAAAAACAGGCATCACCAGAAAAGGAAGTAAATGAAATGGAGGCAACGGAGGCAAGCAACCTGTCAGAGAAAGAATTCAGAGAAATTGCCAGGTCTGCCACTTTGCTGTATTCTGGTTGACCAGGCTGTAGCTCAACCAGACAGACACGCTGCTGCTTCATATCACTCCAGTGTCCAGGGATCTCAACTGCAAAATAGACATTTGAGGACACTCTGCATGCAGAAAGGCTCACCTACACAGTCCCCCTCCCTGGTATGCTTCAAAAAACCGAATAGCATGTGTGTTCTTGTTTTACAATCTCCTGATTCAATGTATTCAATAAATTTCTTATATTTCTAGGAGAATGTTGTTCAAAGCATGGACCACACAACCAACTGTAACGCTTATTAAAACACACACACACACACACACACACCGATCAAT